GCGGGGGGGGGGCAGGAAGTGGGTGCTGCCTCCAAAAGCATCGACCAGGGGTACGCACAGGTCCTCCCCCACCCAACGGGAGACTCCCAAGGGCACCGTGGCCTCCACCAAACCTCCACCCTCAGCTCCTGGTTGAGCCTGGCACAGCCTGGAAAGGGGCAGAGGGGCAGGAGGGTGTCTCGGTGAGGACCTCACAGCTCCAAGCCCACCACAGGGGGTCCAGACACCCCACGGACCCCCCCAAAGCCTCGCTCCCCCTGCCCTTCGGCAGCGGGCCAGCCTCGAGATCTCCCCAAAGCACCCCCTCCTGCCTCCCCATCGTCTGTCACTGCAGCAGCTCTTCCCAGGAGATGGGTCGGGAGAAGACCTCCCGTTCCAGCCACAGGTCATAGTTGACCTGGAAATCCTCGGGGAGGTCCACGCGTTGGCCCAGCACGCTCTGCAGGCAGTTATCCACAGGCAGAAAATCAGGGTTGCTGTGTGCCCGGTCGTAGCGACGTGAGTTGAAGCGTTCGATGCTGGCGCGCAGGGCGCACTCCTCCGCCTGGAAGTCCCAGGGCCGAGCGTCCAGGTCTGGGCAGAGGGAAGAGGGGTGTCGGAGGGGAACTGGGAGCACTTTAGCCAGCCCAAATCCCTCAGGAAAGGTTTTTTCATGTATTTACAAAGAGCAACACGCAGGGCGCGGTGCAGACAGCCACCAACGGCCCCCATTCCCCACATCCCCCCCCACACACCCCAGCCATAAGGATTACACAATCCCTAAGCAGCAAAGGGACACATTTGCGCACAGACACATCACTGCAGCAAGCAGGAAGGACAGCGGCTAACGGGATGCTCTGCAGCCGCTGCCAAGGACGTACCGTTGCCGTAAGCCCAGTCGTCGTTGAGACGGTGCCGCACTTTCTGGTAGATGGCCGACATGGTCTTCATGTTGCTCTTCCTCCACTGCCGGCCCAGGTACTTGGTCTGTACCTTGAGCAGCTTCAGCACGTAGAGCTGCATCATGGCTTGCTTCACCTTCAGCGCCCGCTTCAGGATGGGTGCCGACTTGAACACCACCAGCATCTGTAGGGAACAGCACGCCCGGCAGCCGGGGACAGAGGGGCGACACAGTGGGGATGGATACGTGGGTATCTCCCATTGCACGCGTGCCAACCACCTCCTCCAGCACACACAAACCCTTCCCTGCAGCGGGCACTCTCCCACCCACCCTCTCTTGCCTCCCACTCCCCAGCGAGGTCTGGGGTGCAGCACAAAGGGCACCCCAAGGTATCCACAGCCCCCTTCACCCAGTCCGAGGACCCCGAGACAGCCCGGTCCAGCTGGGCTGAGCCCCAGCACGTTCCCTGGCCCTCACCATGGTGCGGGAATGCTTCCACTTGGTCAGCTTGTTCAGGATGCGCAGGAGGTTTATGCAGGAGAAGAGGTTCCTCCAGCAAAACTGGTTGTTGTCTCCGGCTTCCTGCGGGAAAGCAGACAGGGGTCAGGCAAGAGATGGGAGCAGGGATGAGGAGAGGCTGTTCGGGTCTGAGGACCATTGCCCAAAGGGGTACAACACAGCACATGGGCAGGAGAGGTCTGACAGCCACCCATCGAAGCCCCAGCAGTGCCAGGGCCAAGCACAGGAGTGCTGAGGCTGCCAGGACTCGGTGCCGGAGCCCTGCTGCCACCCCGCACCCATGAAACCCTTTGGGGAGCACCCTGGGGTGCTGGGACCTGTCAGAGAAGGGATTGACTCACCAGGCTCTCTGCCGTCAGCTCCGGCAGCTCGTGCACCACACAGTACGGATAGTCCAGGACGGAAATGCTGCAGGAAGGAGAGGGGGTGTCATGCTGTTCCCCCAGATCCTATCTGGCCCAGGGGCAACGCAGCCCCACATCTCCCACCCACTGACGAGCTGCAGCGGGCACTTCCCTGGGTCCGCCTGCGCCAGAGCCACGGCCGGGGAGGGATCACGGAGGGACAAAGCAAGCAGGGACCCCCCTCCCCACACCAGGCAGGGATGAGGGCAGACACTTCCCTCCACTACCTGTTCTTGGCAGTGATGTAGGACATGATGTTCTGGTTGAAGAACTTCAGGATGAGCGGGATGCAGTTGGCGAAGACCAGGTGCTGGGCCATGTACTCAAACTGGGGAAGAAAGGCAGGCGAAAGGGGAGCCATCCTGGGTCCTGTCCGTCCCCAAAGCCCCGTGCAGGGCGGCTGGACCCTAACCCGCCTCACCTGGTAGATGTGATTCAGCTTGAAGTGCTTGAGCAGGAGGAGCAGCACAGCAGAAATGGCTTTGACGATGATCTCCTTGTGCCGATTGACATCCACCCCCAGCTTCATGCTCTGCAGCACTGTGGTCCTGGGGGACACAGAGGGATTCCTTGGGCTGGGGCACTGTGCGCACCCTGCCAGCCCCGGAGGTGTTGGCGGACAGTCCTGCCATCCCCTGGGTTCTCAGCAGCCACCAGCATCCAGGTCCTGCAGCAACGCACAATTCCTGGCACACCATCAAGCAGAGGATGGTCAGATCACCCAGGAGACCTCAGCACAGCTCCAGCCCAAACCGCACCACTCCCCCTGGCTCCCATCATCACCCAGTGCCTCTGCTTGCCCTCCACTGTCACTCACGGCATCTCCTCCGGCAAAACATCTGCCAGGATGTTGATGGAGTCCGTCTTGGCTTTGGAGGTGGGGGCTGCAGCGAGGAGGATCTTCAGCAGAGCGATCTGGGGAGAAGGGAAAGATGGAAAAGGGGATGGGAACGAGGGGACTGGCCCCAGGCCCCCCTCCCCACCGCAGGAAGGAGTAACAGGGACGTATACTGGGGAGGGAACAAAACCTGGGGGCAGCATTGGAAAGGGACGGAGCAGTGAAGGGAGGCCCCGGGGCGAGGCACCCCCAGATCAGCTCCAGGAGGACAGAGCAAGGCCCAGGGGACCCCCAGTGCTCCCCAGCTCACCATGTACTGCGGCAGGCTTGGCAGGAGGCCCTGGTACAGGATCTCTGCAGGGACTTGCTCCACTTCTTCTTCCCCCTGGTGCCAGGAGAGACCAGAAAACCTCTTACCAGGAGCTGCCACCAGTGCTGTGGGCCTGGCTCAGCCCCAGGCTCTCCGACCCCAAGGGCAGGATATCCCCAGCTCCTGCACGAAGCCTCCGGTCACAGCCCACCCTCTGCCCCAGAGAAATGGCTCCTCCCTCCCCAGCAGAGCAAACCCCCAGCCCTGCCAAAGCCAAAAGACCTGGCAGGACTAAGTGCCCCCAGCCCAGGAGCTGCGTCCCATCCTCATCCCCACACTCACCCCAGAGAGCGGGGAGCGCAGGTACTCGTCCTCCATGTGCACTTGCACCTCTGCGATCGATGTGTACTTGTGCTGCACAGGGAGAGAAAAGGAGTTCACACCATGCCGCCCCTCCATCAATGCCACCAGCCCCTGCCTGCTCCCATCATCTCCAGGAACCTCTGTTACTCCTGTCCCGCTGGTGAACGATGTTGATGGGCAGGGTGGTGGCCGCTGGCCTCACCTCTGGGACAACCCCAGTAAGAAAGGGATGAAACCAGTGAGGAAAGAGGTTCAGCCAGGCTGGGAGACCAGGGACGGGATGCAAACTTGAGGCCTCTCCCGTTACAGGGCTGAGCAAGTGGGAGAGGGGTCAGGAAAATGCACTACTGGCCCTGACCTGCGATAGGTGCAGGGCGATGGGAAAGGGGCACCCACACAAGAGCAGGGGCTGAAGGAATTCCTTAATGTACTCACCAGCTTCAGGGTTCGGATGCTCTCGTGGATGGGCCTGGGCAAGCCCACCACGGTGTTGGTGTCACTAGAAAGAAG